TCTTGGGTGATCAATGATCTAACATACACCTGGTAGGGTTTCCAGGTCATTCTCACATTGTGGCTTAACTGTTGTGAGTTGTGATTTCCAGGCCAACATGGTAAATAGTCTAGAAAACACGTCGGGTTAATATCAGGCAATTTCCAGGCAACTCAGCATGCTGGCCTAGTAAACTCAAGTTGCAAAAGTTAGGCCACCATGGTATACCGCTTAAAAAACACATCACGTGCATGTCATTGTCAAAAATATTACGACGAGCAGACCGGATTCGTGCGTTTGCGCGTTGAGTGTTTGCGTACACAGAATTTTGTGATTCAGCAAATCAAAAAAGGCGTGAGATACACAGCTGTGTACGCAAACACTCTCTGGCGTGTTGAAGTGCAAATTCGTGAATCCGGTCCGCGGTCGGTCGGTTGGGCCGTCGGTTCGAATGGAAGGCTTACTGTAATGCTTTCTACAGAGCGTGCCGCGTAGTAGAGACGCAGATTAGGCGATGGGAATCACTAAAAGGAAGCCGGCAAGAAAAAGAAGAAACAACAATGGTGAGTCACACACACACACATTCAATAGAGGCGTTGATTCTAAGGATGAAGAAGAAGAGAGAAACGAATGTGATTGAAAAGAAGAAGAAAATTGAGATACTTTGTGTCAGGAAAAGGCGCATGGTTGGAAAGGGAAATATTTTAAAAGGAATGGAAGGGAAGGCGTGTGTGTGTATGTTTATAAATGATTCAAGAAAGAGAGAAAAGAGGGCGAAGGACCATTGGGAGGGACCAAAGGAAACAAAGTGCAATATAATTCCGCCGATAATTAGGCGTGCTGATGGCTCATGAAAGGTCTAACATGCACCTGGTGTGATTTCCAGGACATTTCAGCAAAGTGACCTAACTTTTCCAAATTGAGTTTCCTAGGCCACCATGGTAAATGTCCTAGAAATGGGCTAACCTGCACCTGCACCTGCCCACACACCCACACACGCGCACACAGACAAGAGATCACAAGGAGGACTAACGAGACCCAACGAGACCCAACGAGACCTGACGAGACTTAACAAGGCCACACACGCAAGAGAGAGAGAGAGAGTGGCGCAGGAAGAGACGCAGATTAGACTAGGAAATGAAGCAGATGCGTGGGCAGATGTGGATGTGACGGGAGATTTTCAAAGGAAAACTGACGCTGTCGTACACACCACACAGCGCGCAAATAGAGGAAGCCG